CCTCCTCCTCCTCTTTTCTTCCTCCTCCTCCTCCTGTTCTCCTCTTCTTCCTCCTCCTCTCTACCATCTCCTCCTCCTTCCTCAGCCTCCTCCTCCTCTTTTCTTCTTCCTCCTCCTCCTCTTCTCCTCTTCTTCCTCCTCCTCTCTCCCACCTCCTCCTCCTTCCTCAGCCTCCTCCTCCTCTTTTCTTCTTCCTCCTCCTCCTCTTCTCCTCTTCTGCTTACTCTTAAAGAGGGCTGAATGAGAGGTCCTTGTGCAGAGGTTCTTAATTTTCCTGAACCTTTAAAAAAAATGGCAAACTATTCAATATACCCCACAGAAATGACCCCACACTCCTGGTGGGATCAGCTCGTCTCCCCAAGACCAGGTCACTCAGACGTTTGTCTGTTTAATTTTAAAGAATACAGTTAGCATGACACGCATTACAGAATGGAAAATTTGCCCCTCCCCCGGGTGTCCACAACTCCCTCCCTCTTCCCCCCCACCCTTGCTCATTTCTTCCTGCATTTTTTTAGACTGCATCTCTTGAGCAGAAGAAAATATTTTCCTTGCAGGAGTGTTTTTTTTTTTTAATACAGCTCTTTCAGTGGGAGATCTCAGGTTTTGAATTTCCTGAGTGCAGAAGATAATTGCACTCCAGTAGATACAGGATGACGTAGGGAAGTCAGAAGGAGCCCCAGGGACCTCCATTCAGAAGCGTGAAATAATTGTCTGGGTAAACGGGTAAACAGAAGGTTAACGAGCTTTCTGTATAACTTGGCTCTTTGTTTGAAGGTAAAAGAAGGTTCTTTCTCCACTCCATGAGAAAAGTACGAGACAACAAGCTTTAACCCACAATCAAAGTCCTTTGCAAACCAGAAAGCAATTAGTTGAATGCCAAAGAACACACAGAGATCCCAAACCAAAAAAACAACAACAACCCCTTTTTCTTTTTTGGGGGGGAACTAACAATGTAATGTTGCACAAAAGCTGCATTTAGACTACGCTGTGGTTCTTGCAGGAATGTTGATAACTTTCCAGTCATAGTTTGGGAATTGAGAGGTTACAGTGACATCTTTAATTGTTTATTTCTTTGCTCATTATAAACTTTAACAAGGCTGTCCACTTCAAACAATGTGACACAAAATAAGAGGGAGTGGGGGAAGAACGTCCTATAACAATAAATAGACACTACTTAAATGCAAGATGTAAAATGTGAATTTTACAGGCGTCTGCTCTGAAATACTGGAATGGATTCACAAAGGATGAATAGATTCCAGAATTGTCCTTTCGATTTCCAGGATATTTACAAAGTTTCTGTCTGCAATTGACCTCTATTAGATGGAGGTAGCTTCCCACTCTAGTTGCATCCCTGAGCTGACTGGGTGAAACAAACTTCAGATAAATTTTAGATTCAGCACGTAATCTCCTCCTAGTCTCTTTCCCCCAATTTTAAATCACTTTCTTTGATTGGTTGTTGGAAACTAACGTTAGAATCATCACTTTTGGTTTGTTGTTTTTACGCTAATGTCCAGCAAGTGGATAGTTTTGAAGAAAAGGTAATCCAGGAAAAATTTTCCCCAGGAAAATTTTAGATTCTCTCTTGTGACATTTATCTGGTTGGTTTATCCGGTTCATCCTTAGCTCTCCCAGGAACAGACTGTGATATTTTACATGCAAGAAATCACATCCCTGATAATTTTCTCTCCCTAAGATACTAGTTCTTATGAAGGACTGCAAGCAGTGCATGCAGAAATCTTAGGTTGCAGAGGGGAGTTTGTATTAGAATTCCAATTATATTGCCTACAAGCTATTTACTGGCCTTCCTTTGTGTTTGTGTATATGTGCTAGAGCAGGGGTCGCCAATCTTTTGGACCTCAGGGACCACCAAACTCATAATTTTAAATCCTGCAGACCAGAGACCCTGGGAAAATCCCCCAAAAAGTCTGCAGGAAAATTCCCCACCCTGTTTTCCTACCGATTGATCGCAGGACACCGTCTTCAGCTCCGTTCTCAGGGGGAGGGAGGGAGGGAGGGAGAGAGAGACTTTTGGCTTCATGCAAGGAAAGCAACAGAAGCAGCAGAAGCCTTTCTTTCTTCGCCAGAAATGAGCCTTTGTGAGAATTGTCGCACTGACGCAGCCTCTTGGAGCCGGAGGCCTTGCAGGGTCCCAAAGACTCATTTCTGGCGGAGTTTGGGGGAGAAAAAGAAAGACTTTTGCTGCTTTCCTTGCGTGCAGCCAAAAGCAGCAGAAGAAAGAAGCTGAAAGAAGCAGCCCCGTGGCCAGGCGAGGTGCGTGGGGTGAGTGGGGCAAGTTCCCCCCTCTGCCCTTTCCCCCCTCCACTCACTATCTCATGTTGTTCACAATGCAAGTGACGCAAGCCTTGTGTTCCCACGGGCCATGTGGGCGATGCAGCCTTGTGTTCCCGTGCAGCCTGGATTAATTGCTTTGAGGGGTGTTTGGGGGGGAGTGACATTTCTCTCCAACCACCAAAATTGTCTCATGGACCACTAGTGGTCCCCGGCCCACTGGTTGGCAACCACTGTGCTCAAGGAGAGTTCCCCAACTTTTCTGTCTTTGCGGACTGTTGGGGGAGGGAGAGGGGATCATACTGTGTGAGTGGTGGGTGTGTACACACACAGCTCCATTGTGCAAGTGGCGACCACATGCGCCTGGTCATGCAAACAAGATGTGCATGTGTTTGCCCATTGCTCGCACAAGAGGGGATGTGCGTGTGCACACACACTTCCCCGCCCTCCACCTCTGTGGCCAGGTTCTGGTCAGTTGACTGGCTGATAGTGGGCCACCATACAGGAGTTGGGGACCCCTATGCTAGAGTACTTCTCTCTTGTCTGTCTCTCTTGCACACCCAAGTGCACACTATGTGTCTGTTTATATTTTCATAACTGCTTCATTCTCATAAAATTTGCAGCTGTGTAAATCTTTCTTTCTTAGTGCAAACTTTTAAGATGCCTTGGTGCAAAAATTGGTATATTTATTATGCATCGTACACATGGTTGATGTAACCTTTATGCCAAAATGTAAACACTACTCCACTCCTTGGCGTTCCTCGATTATAATTTTGTTTTTCACAGCATTTTCAATTGTAATTAAACATTTTGATATTGATAAATGGTTAATTCTTGGCAACAGCCTGACTCTTATGCTTTGTTTCAGAAATAACCACTTATATTTTGTTCATCGCTTCCTGCTCGTGATACGATAGCTATCTTGTTTTGGATGATATTACATTTTTGCACTATAGATTCCAACAGTTTAGATTTATACTTACAACATTTATTAGCATACCATCATATTAGCGTAAGTTACAGCATGTTATGATAGAAACTCCTTTTATCTTAGTATTTTATCTTACCCCTTGGATTTTACCTTTGGGTTGTGTATTTTTAAATGTTGACCGAATAAACATTATTAGGAACTCTTGTTAAGTACGTTGAATGTGACGTTGAATCACATTTTTTTTTCTTGTTTTTTTTGTTCTCTTGCAGCCAACTGGGTACATGGAAAGCTCCATTTCCTACAGTTCAATTGAAGATATTCAGTTGCTCTCTTGGGAAAACGCCCCAAAGTATTGTTTACAACTCACAATTCCTGGAGGGACAGTCCTGCTGCAGGTATAGTAAACACAACTGAAAACTTGTTTTGCCTTCTTATTGTCAAATCTTTCCCTTTTTTCCTCTTTGCTCAAGTCCTTTTTTTTCCTCCTTTCAATATTTTGTTATATATTTATATTGATTGATTGATTAGCCTATAGGCCATATCAACATACAGATTCAAACACATATTACCAATAAAATTCTAAACAATTTAAATGAGAGTAGGATAAAATACGATAGTTATAGGATAAAATACAAATAATTTAATACATAAATGTGTAAAATAGAATAAAATGACATAAAATTATATTTTCTATCACCCCTGCACTCTACCCCAATCAAGCCTGCATATGTTGATCTCAGTCAGACCATTTTAATCAGAAATTGTGCTGTATTAAATGTTAAATTATTAACTTAATTAAATTAAATTATTCATTTGTCAACAAGTAGAATACAGAAATACAATGAAAAATGAAAATAAGGGAAGGAAGTGAGGGTGGAGTGTAGGATAGAGAGGAAAAAGAAAAGTTTGACTCCAACTTTTTTTTTGGTGCAGTAGAGTAAGGTAGTAACATAAAACTTCAACTTTTTTACTTTTATATAATAATAGATACCAGCCATTTCTATAACAGCAAGCCTATCTAATCAACAAAACCCCAAATCAAGGTTTCATTGTTGATGGAGTTAGCCGAGATGGATGAATTGACTGCTTTGATTAAAGTTTAAAAAAAAGGAACACAATTTATTTTGTTTCTACTTGGAAAGAGCTTTTGGACTTTGTGCTCTTTGTTTGAGTCCAATTATAATGTGTAATGGGGAAAATTAACTCCATTAGTTGATGATAGATTTCAGCATCAGGCCAATGCATTCCTAAGTTGCTGCCTCACCCAGAGGGATAGCATCAAAATCACGTGAAGTGTTAGTAGCGGTACCACTTTTACACTGCACCCGTGAATCCGCACTGCACCCAGTTTTGGTCACCACGATACAAACATTGTTGAGGCTCTAGAACAGGGATGTCAAATTCGATTTCATTGAAGACCGCATCAGGGTTGTGTTTCACCGCAGGGGTCCAGGGTGGGCATGGCAGGATGGGCCTGGTCATTTCGATGTCACTCATGGTGCCTGGGGTCTGCCTGGGGCGCCCCAAGCACTCTAGCCAGCGAAAACGGGCTCCCAAGCTCCGTTTTTGGCTGCAATGGCCTCCTGCAACCCTCTGCCAGTTGAATATGTAGCTTAGGAGGGCCTTCCCAAGCTCCGTTTTCACTGGCACAGGCACTGTGGGCCGGTCCTTCACTATTTCCAGGGCAGCCCCGTGGGCCAGATCTAAGCACTTTGTGGGCACAATCCAGGCCCCAGGCCTTGAGTTTGACACCCCTGCTCTAGAAAGAGTGCAGAGGAGAACAATGAAGATGATAAAGGTCTTAGAGGCGTACAGTGAGCAGTTGAGAGAACTGGGTATGTTTAACCAAAAAAGAGGAGGACTAGGGATGATATGATAGCAGTCTTCTGAAGTTGCTCAAAGAGAAGAGGGGATTCAGAGGTGGGATTCAGCAGGTTCTAACCAGTTCTGGAGAACTGGTAGAAATTTTGAGTAGTTTGGAGAACCGGCAAATACCTCCTCTGACTGGAGATTTTACAGTATCCTTCCCCTGCCACGCCCACCAAGCCACGCCCACAGAATTGGTAGTAAAAATTTTGAATCCCGCCACTGGGTTGTTCCCTCTCTCTGGAACCTCATCCCCCCCCCCCCCTCAAGATGATAGTTTAAGAGCTGACCAGCTGATGCAATGATGGAAATGAGTCAGAAGGTCTTTGGCTGTTATCCCTTTAAGAGCCTGTGTAATAAGAGGAGGCCCTGCTAGAGTGTTTGTCGGTCCCTCGAGTTTCTTTCCTGCTGTAATTGCTGTTTGTTTAGATACTGCTTGTAGCACGCTTATCAGAGGTGGTAGTCAGCAGGTTCTGACCAGTTCTGGAGAACCGGTAGCGGAAATTTTGAGTAGTTCGGAGAACCAGCAAATCCCACCTCTGACTGGAGATTTTACAGTATCCTTCCCCTGCCACACCCACCAAGCCACGCCCACAGAACCGGTAGTAAAAAAAATTTGAATCCCACCACTGGATTGACTTATTCTCCAAAACACTTGAGGGCAAGAAGCAATGGATGGAAACTAATCAAAAACCAACCTAGAATTAAGGAGAAGTTTCCTGAGAACAATTCATCAGTGGAACAGCCTTCAAAAGTTGTGGGTGCTCCGACACTGGAGGTTCTTAAGAAAAGACTGGACAACCATTTATATGAAATCGTATAGGCTCACTTGCTTTGACTAGGGAGTTGGACCTTCCCGGTCCCTTCCAACTCTGTTATTCTATTAGTCTGTTATTTGTCAGTTTTATGCCCATGTTGCCTTCATGGGCTCAAATCTGTTTTCTTTAATGCAGAGGGTCTTTCTGAATATTACCATTGCCTTCTGAGGTTCCTGTTGATGTGGAAGTTTAATCATAGGGAAGCAGTATATAGCTTTCTGAAACTGGTCCCTTGACTTGGAGGAATTGGCTTCTGTAACAACCAAGAGATATTTCCGTATTAAAGTCCAGGCTGTGTTTTTATGCATGGTTACTTTGCAACAAACTTCATGGAGAGCACCTTAATTGTTTCCTCGTTCCTAAGCAAACACAGATTGGACTGAATGGCCAAACACACACAAACCAGCAGTACTGAAAGCTTCTGTCGGTCCTATCAGTCCCCTACGTAGCGATCAGGGAAACTGGTTTCCAGTGTTGTGATCGATGAATTAGATGTTTTTGCTCCAGTTTTCCCAAGGGATCAAGGCCATCAGCAACCACCACACCCGTCTCCATAAAATAAACAGGAACATGATTAAGTTATACTTATCAGTGTTCAGTTCATGGCAGAATATGTTTTGAAATCTCTTACTTCAGTTAACAGTGATGTAATACAGTGGTATAATATAAAGAGAGAGGGAGGGAGGGAGGGAGGATGTACCTTTTTTGGTTTTTTGAGCCTGATAGTTGATCTAGCAATACCAATAGCACTTAGACCAAGGGTCTTCAAACTTGGCAAGTTTAAGACTTGTGAACTTCAACTCTCAGAATTCCTGAGCTAACATGACTGGAGGAGGAATTCTGGGAGTTGAAGTCCACAAGTCTTAAAGCTGTCCTCATTTTATCCATCTTGGAAGGATGGAAGGCTGAGTCAGCCTTGAGCCTGGTGAGATTTGAACTGTCAAACTGCAGGCAGCCGGCAGGCAGCAGAAGTACCTGCAGTACTGCACTCTAACCGCTGTGCCATCTTGACTTCTAACTTCATCTGTCCTATTATTGAAGTAATTAACATTCAAAGGTCTCATCAGCTTTGAAGAAACTCTCCAGCACTTTAATATCAGTATATGTACCACTATATCACATTCAGATAGTCCTTGATTTACAACCATTCATTTAATGACCTTTCAAAATTACAACGTCCCTGAAAAGAGGGACTTAAGACCGTTTTTCATACTTACAATGTTGTAGCATCTTCATGGTCCTGTGATCGAAATTCAGATGATTGGCAACTGATTTCGTATTTTCTACGGCTGCACTGTTCTGGGGTCACATGATCCCATTTTGCGACCTTCTGACAAGCAAAGTCCTTGGGGAAGCCAGATTCACTTAACAACCATGTTACTAATTTAACAGCTGCAGTGATTCACTTAGCAATTGTGGCAAGAAAGATCGTAAAATGGTGCAAAATTCACTTAACAATTGTCTCGCTTAGCAACAGAAATTTTGAGCTCAGTTGTGGTCGTAAGTCAAGGACTACCTGTATAGGAGTAGGAAAGTACCTTCTGAGGATATCCGAGCCCCAGACAACTGAAATTGTCAGAGTGTTTGCAGCGTGACTACTATTGTGAGACAACCCAGGAGCAAAGCACAGCACACACAGAGGCTTTGTGTTTTAACAATGGTTTATATACAGACAGTTATATACATAAATATACGTGGTAGAAACATACCAGGCAAGCAATCAGTCTTCATTACTCTGCACAGAGAACCACAATGGAGATGGAACACGAGGAGAGAGATGTACGCCCTCTCATGGCCTCATGTATGTATATTTAGACAGCTTCTTAAAGTGGTAAAACCCTGTGGGACCCATCCTCAGCCTTAAAGCAGTAATAACCATGCTGATTCATCCTTATTGCATTCAGCCTTACAACAGCTGGTCAGCTATTAAATCTCAATACCTTGACAGAATGATACCCAGCGATCACAGGAAGGCTTTAAAAAAACATGGGAAAGTCCTTGTGTTTGGGATTCTCTAAGTATCAGGAGATACCATGATTAGTGGCATCAGAAGTCACAGAGAGATTCAAGAGAACTAACTGCATTCACACAAATCTGCCTCCTGGCATATGTCACACACCAAGGCAACCAAAGCCATTTTAATCCAGCTTCCCGCTCCAAATCCTGCAACTGGCATCTTCCCACTAATATCACAAAGGGTGGAGGGGAGAGAATATTAGTTTTAGATATGTTTTCTGAAAAAAGATCTAAGCTATCAAACATAAAGCACACAACCATCCATGTTTTTGAATCCTCGCTGCTTTGCCTTCTTGCTTTTATTTCCAGCATGATTAACCCACAAAAATACGAGGATGACGATTGTTTGTGCTGAACATATAATAATAATGAGTGAAACAGAGTCTGAAGTCCGAGCTCCTGGCTACGTTTCAAGGAAGTTTGGCAGGCCTAGTTGATGTTTATCAGCTGCAGAGGGCCCTAATTTTTTTTCTTTCTTTTTTTTATTTTTGCTGTTATTCCGAGAGCAAATTAATAGTGTTTGTGAGAAATGGGCATTTGAAGAGGGGAGCTTTGCCCGAATGTTTTCCCACTTAAAGGACTGAGATCATAATATTGTTTCCCCAGCATTGATAACGGGGTTTGAATGGAGTCCAGGTTTCCCTGGTTATTTATCTTGGACCTCCCCTGCAGTTTGTAGAGCAAGGCTCCCTTGC